TATTGAAATATTTTTTACATAAAAGAATAGTTTATAAAGCTGTGCATTATAGGTCTCACCACCTATGGAACATATAACATTAATCCAAAATAATGATATGCCATGGTGGGTTAGGTAAGTCTACTTTTGTTTGTCACATTAGATTTTTGAATAACTCTCTTTTCTTGCAGATACCAGCCAGTCAGTTACAAACTAATCTCACGTAGTGGTAACGAAGAAGAGTTCAAAGACATGGTTGACAGATGTAACAAAGTTGGAGTGAGGTAAACAAGTTGGTCAGTTCAGTTACCCAACTCATCGATTTGCTCACACTCAGAATCATTGTTGATGCTGTTATCAATCACATGACCGGGGTTGCACAGAAAAAAGGAGTTGATACCAGAGACAGCAGCGGTGGCTCATTCTTCGATGGAACGGATGGCATAGAAAGCTTCCCAGAGGTGAGGAGACTTGGGATGAGGGGTGTAGGCCCTTCTAAACCGTTTTCCACGCGATGCCCATTTCGTCGCATGCGGTCCCGCAAAGAAAATGGACGAGTTGCATCACGCAGAGAGCGGGCTTCATATTTTGTAGAATGCAAAACATCTGTGTAAACACCTATCTTCATGGATACGATAGTTTGTAGTACCAAAACGCTCATGCTTGTGTGCAACCCATTCGGCTCTCCCGTTTGCTCCGCCCTGTGCGAAGCCTGACCAATCGCAGCGGGTGTTGACCAATCAGAGCCGTCGCTATGGCGAGCGGTTTCAAAGTGCCATTTTCCGGGGTAGAGTTGTACATAACGTTACAGTATCTTCTGAAAGAAGACTTTGTGGAAGAAAAAACTACAAAATTGCAAATCCTTATAACTGCAAAAATTTTGTACAGAATATATCCACTCTATACAGAGATTTTTTAGGTCCCATATTCGCAGCAAGACTTCAACGATTACAGATGCAAAGGGAACATCGGATCTGGAGATTACGGTAGCAACCCAGCTGGAGTAAGTTTTTCACTTTGGAAACTTTTCTTTCTGGGGAGGGCGG